GGTCGCAACCAGCAGCCTAGCTGTAAGTCAAAACAGGATACACAGCGCAAACAAGCCCTCCACCCAAATCTCACCCCAGGACATAGCACATACTCTCCACCCTCACCTCACCCCAATGCCAGCACCCACTCATCCTCTATTTCCCCCACTTACCCCATGCATTCTGCTTCCTCCCACACCCCTTCCCAGCCTAAGAAGCTTGAGAAGAGTGCTGGGTTTCTGCCTCCTCCTCTGCCTCTCTCTCCTCTCCAGGCTGGGCAGCCTGGAGACAGGGACTCCCCAAATTCCCTCCCTGTAGCACTTACTTACTCCCTCCGTACATCCTCCTCATTTCCCCAGACTGCCGTACCCTATAACTCCTCTCCAGCCATTTACTCCTTCCTTCCCTCATCCTTATCTCCCTTTTCTACATGCTCTCTGAACTCCTGTGTTTCTGTCAGGCAGCTGCTGCTGCTGAGCAAGAGGGCAGAGCTCATTAAACAGCTAGGCGGCTTATAGGGAACCTTGATCGGGAAACACATTTGCAACCACCATTAAACAAAAGAGCCACATAACTACTGTCCATCCTGCACACCACCCCATCAAACACACATGTACAATATTACTAATATATAACTATAACTATAAACAAACATTCTAACATTTTCAAATCAATTTTCAATAACATGAAAACTAAATTAAGCTAATTTATTTATTTCACAAGGGGTTCAGAATGTGGGAGAGGCCTCCAAGATGGGGCAGAGGTTTTGGATGTGGGAGGGGGTGAGGGCTCCAACTGGAGGTGTGTGAGCTCTAGGCTGGGGTTGGGGATGAAAGGTTTGGGACACAGGAGGAGGCTCCAGACTGGGGCTAAGGGGTGTGGAATGAAGATCCGGGCAGAAGGCTTGGGTCTGGGTGGGAGTTAGGGTGTGGGAGGGGGCTCAGGGCCGGGGCAGGGCCGGGGTTAGGGATGTTAAATAGCCGTTACTAAGCTAATTGAGTAGTTGATGGAATTTCCATCGACAACTTGATTAGTCGATAAAGGGGTTAGCTCCCGGAGTGGCATGAGTCGAGACTGAGTAGTCCTAACTTGCGTTGGCTCCAGGGCCGCTGTGCCTCTGCTTTTTAAATTTAGTAAGAGCCAACAGGCTCTTACTTCATTTAAAAGGCATGGGCTGGGACAGCTGAGTCCTGGCTGACACCTGGTCTCCAGCTGTTACTACATTTAAAAGGCAGAGCTGCGGTAGGGGACTGGGCATGGACAGCTGAGTCCTGGCTGACACCTGGTCTCCAGCTGTTACTACATTTAAAAAACAGAGGCTCAGTGGTCTGGGACGGGGTGCAAGTCAGGACAGCTGAGCCGCGACAGGTCCCCCTGGTGGCTGTTACTACATTTAAAAGGCAGAGGTGCAGTGGGTGTGAACTGGGACTACTCAGTCCCGGCTCATGCTGGTTCCCCAGCTGTACCTCTGCCTCCCTTTGATACAGAGGCAGCAAGGGCAGTGGAGTGGCTAGTCGAGTAGTCACTCAACTAGTTGCTTACATTCCTAGTTGGGGTGCGAGGTGCTTACCTTGGGCAGCTCCCGTTTAGTAGTGCTGTGAATTGTTGTCTAACATTGGACAAAACTCACGACTCAATTTATTTTGCATCTCATTGTCCAAAGAGTGACTTTAGCTGGGACAAGCTTAGTATTGGAGAGTATCTGATTGAAAACACAAATGGGAAAAAAAATCTTCACTAAAATTTTGGAAATCATTTTCTTTCCACAGGTTTAGAAAAGGAACGCATAGTCTTTCAAAATATGAAATACATATATTGAATAACAGAAGTTCATTTTGGATTACAATTTTTTGAATGTTTTGGGGCTCTTTTTTCCTCCCCTCCTTTCCACTTTTCACACATTTAAATTTTCCCACCATTTCTCCCCCCTTTTTTTCCACTTGCTGCAGAAAAAGGAGGAAAGATAAGAGGAAGGAAAAGAAAGGGGAAAATTAAATGAAAAAGCACCCAACAATTTGTGAATTCTTTTAAAATTTCTGATTTAGAAAAGAACTAGGGCTGTTAATTGACCTGCATTAATGCCTGCAATTAATGCAGGATAGAATTAACGAGTTCAAAAAAATTAACGCATTAATCGCAGGTGTTAATGCAAATTAACGAGTTCAAAAAAATTAACGTATTAATCGCAGGTATTAATGCTGTACTGCTTCTTTGAAGTGCTGCTCCTCAAAAAGGAAAAAGAAGTGTTTTTGTTGCTATGGATGAATTTTGGCCAAAGTTGTGAAAGGCAGTATGTATACCCTGAAGTGAATGAATACAGAGCCATCTACTATCAGAGAGCCATTTTGAGGACTGTAATAATAATTCCTATAGTATTTTGGAATTTTATCTCAAATCTCTTAATAGACGTTACAAACATTAAATGCACTTCTATTCTGAAAAGTATCTCTGTAAAAAGGCATTGGTGGGCTCCATGTTTACCTTCTGTGTTAAATATGCTCGGCTTCCTTTTTTTAATCTGCCAGCAACCTTGGGCGCAGATTAAAAGGCGCATAATTTAAAAAACAGAAGCTCAGTGGTCTGGGACTGGATATGAGCCGGGGGCGCATAATTAATATTTTGCCCCACATGCAAAAATAGTTACGGTGTTGGCATGGGCTGTACAAGCCTGCCTGACCTCCCAAGCATGCACTTGCATTGCTAGCTCACATTCTCATTCCTTTATTAGTTAGCTTGCCAGCTTATATCTAAGACCAGTACAGGCAGTCCCCGGGTTACGTACAAGATAGGGACTGTAGGTTTGTTCTTAAGTTGAATTTGTATGTAAGTCGGAACTGGTACATATTGTAGGAGAAACTCTAGCCAAACATTTCTCCAGAGCTCAGTTTTATTCTCCCACACCTCACTTCCCTCAGTCCTTTATTCTCAAGCTGAGGTGTCTGCTGAGAAAAGCCGCTCCGCGTCTCCCTGGTCTGCTGGTGGGAAGCAGCTAGTGCGGGGTTGCCTCACCCCGTTTGTAAGTAGGGATCCGATGTAAGTCGGATCCATGTAACCCAGGGACTGCCTGTACATCTACATGAGCTGCAAATCACACCCCTGACTGCAGCTCAGAGATCCCCTTATGTCTTCCCCAGCCAATGAAGGTGTGATTGTAGCACAGGTAGGCATACCTACACAAGCTTTAATATAGCTAGCACAGTGACCAGTAGTAATTTTAATGTGGATGTGGTGGCTGGGGCTTTGGCATAGATCTTCTCATGCCATAGTTGCACCTTTTACTTGCTGCATAGACCTGCTCTAGTGTGGGGATGAGACTCGAGGTAGGGTATGTCTACACTGCAATCAGAGATGTGATGGCAGCGCACGTATGTGCATCTGAGCTAATATTGATCCGTAGCAAGCTTAGATGACAAGCACAGTGAAGCTGGCCGCATGATTCTATCTGAGGGTCCTGCTGAGTTTGTACAACCTGTGCTTCCAACCACACCAGGGTGTCTTCACTGTTATTTGTGATTTGAGCGAGCCTAGTCAAAGCGAGGTTAGCTAGCCATGGTGCAGTCACGCGTCTGACTGTAGGATTACCCTTATTGGGACAACACTCGGGTTAGCTCAGCAAGGAAGACAAGCCCATAGTCAGACAATTTTGAACATCCTGCAGTTTTTGTGATGTAAGTGAAAATCTGGTTGTATCGCTGCAATATTGTCGACACTGAGCCTTCAACCATTATGGAATTTTGCATCAAGTTCATGGTCTTGGTCCTTGTGCAAGTCTACTAAAGCTCCAGGGCAAAGATGGTGGCTGACAATTCCACTCCTCTGGCACATGGGAGTGCTTAGCACTAATGTCATCTGGTCTGAGATCATGGCATGGACACCCCCAGAAACTAAGGCCCACCACAAACCTTACCATCTTGTACTCCAAGTGCAAGGCATTTTTCTTTGGCCTGGCCTTTTCAAACATAAACCAAGAGCAACAAGTGTGTTTATTAACTCCCCACAGCCTTCCCCCAAAACAAAACAATGCGCCCCCCCCCCCATTACAGTAAGCCACTTCATAGGCTTCTCCCTCTGGGGAAAAGAAGAAAGAACAAACCACACATGACAGATGTGTAGTAGTATTGCTTAATGCATTACTACTCGAAAGTACTCAGATACCACAGTGATGAGTGAGATATTCTATTCATAGAATAGAATAGACAGAAGGGTCACCACCAATATAAGCAGCTGGTAAATTAGGCTAGGAATATAATTTGCTATATTAACTTTGAATGTCTAGGAATACAACAAAGCTCAAAACTACTTTGAATTAAATAAAGAACAGCAAAGTGATCTACAGCAAAGATAACACTTTGCATTTCTGTGTAGCACCTTCCCTCCAAAGGTATCAGTTCACTTTCAGTCTCCCAGGATTCGGAATCACACCTCATAAGAGGCTTGACTTAAGTGAGTATTATCTCTGTTTTCAGATCGGGATGCTGTGGGCTGTGCCCACGAAAGCTCATGATACCATCTACATGTTTTGTTAGTCTTTAAAGTGCTACCAGACTGTTGTTTTTTAAAACAGAGAGATTTCAGGGTGCACAGGAAGTTTTTGCAGAGCAAGGAATAGACTACATGCCCTGGGTATCAAAATACCAATTCACACCTGTTTTAAATCCACTTCAGCTAAACTAAGTTTAAAATTATATAAAGAGATAGTATGGACTCAATTTTAGGTGATTTAATTGGCCTGATCTGTTTTTACTGAATGGGTTCCAAGACTGTTTGAGGTTAGAAACTGCTTCCAGTATAGACAAGGCCCCATGTGCACATTAACCAGCAATCTTTCTTCCTGCAAGTAGGAGGTGCACTAAAAAATGATATCAAAACCATGTTTGAGTTGTGGAGCTAATGAAAGGGAGTCAAGAAAGAACTAGATGCCAAGCTAGGAAATAACTTCTTATTTTTCTCTGTAAAATATTAAGATAATTATTGTTTTGTTTAATTCTAAACTAATTACATTTTTCTTTTACATTTACAGTCATATTTTGAAAACAATTGCCCTTGGTCAGATGCTTTCCTTGTTTATCTGTGGGACTGCTGTTACAAGCCAGTATTTAGCAGAACAATACAATGTGAACACTCCAATGCTACAAAGTTTTATCAACTATTGTTTGCTTCTTCTAGTTTACACGATAATGTTGGCATTTAGGAGAGGTATGTGAAATACTGTGGGAGGGAGTTGGGTTCATGGAACTCTGTTTTTCTTGTGTATGTTTAAGATTAATTCACTAAAACAGTGGGACATGCACTTTGACATATGGGCCAACTGAAGACCATAAGAGATATTACCAAAGCAGGGGTCCACTCCTCCATCCGCTGACATTAATGGTAACATTGCCCAATGACTCTGCTAGAAGTAGGATTGGGCTGTTTGAAGGGGAAGGAAATGAGGTTTTATTTGTTTCATAATTCATTTTGTATATATTTTTAAAGTATAAGTGATAGCGTAGTGAGAAGACGGCCCTGATCCTGCCTTAAGATAGGCATGAGTGGACCCCTTCTCCTGTACAGAATCCCACTGAAATCTGTGGACCTCATTCTCGGTTACTGAATTCTTTCAGTATACTGCAGGCAAAAATGAAGAGGGAGACTGTGATGGCAAAGGGAGCTTTAAGATACCTTTGCATTTCCCATATTCTGGGTTACATAGGGCTATGCTGAATAAATTAAAGCAGCCCTGAGGCTTGTCCAGGAGTGAAGTTGAGGTATATATATAGGTATATACATGAGGTATATACATCTACACTTGCTCCCTGGTTTTTGAGGAGTAACGTTAGTTCGAAACAAGGGGTTTGGTTCAAACTAACGCGTCCTGGCGCGCACTTTCACTTTTGAAACAGCTGTTGAGCGGAGTAACATGCCGGCGAGATCATGCTAATGAAGCGTGGGATATTTAAATCCCCGTTTCATTAGCAATTTCGGTCACCTACATTTGCATCCCTAGTTCGAACTAGGGAGCAAGTGTAGACGTACCCTAAGGTGCCACAGGACTCCTTGTTGCTTTTGCAGATACAGACTAACATGACTACCCCTCTGAGACTCATGTTTATTGCCTATCTGTGGGCTGCTTTCTGTTTCTGCTTTATCTTCAGATGGGACAGGTAGACTCAAACACAATAATAGTGGATATACCTTAAAAAAGCATGAGTTCTGAAATAAATATTCAGCATTCCTTTAAAAAAACATACATTGACTGAAGTTTTCTCTAAACAGGCAGTGACAGCCTTTTGCAAATTCTGAAAGGGAAGTGGTGGAAGTATATTCTGTTGTCACTAGTGGATGTCGAAGCTAACTACACAATTGTAAAAGCTTACCAATACACAACCCTAACAAGTGTTCAGGTATGGACCATTTTTCCTTTCTGATTTGCTGCTTTTAAATCCATTTGAATCTGTTACGAACATGAGATTTTATAGTACAAATATGGAACCGTTTTAAAATGGAAAAGGCTGTAAATAGATGTGAATCCATGCCGCAGTCTGGGGAATGGAGCATGCTGTGGCATGAGTAATACTTCTGGGAAGCAGTGAATATTTGACGACGGTATCCAGTGCCAAGTTTCCTGAGTACAGCTCTAATTATTTTGATAGAATATGTTTTTAAGAGTTTGCTGACAACTGCTCTTTTCCCACGTGCTGCAAATCAAAGATTTGGGCCAGATTTGTGGCTGTCTGGCAAAGGCTTTTGTTAGGGGCAGAATGGTGCTGTCCCCACCCCTGTAACACAGCAGGGTGCACCTGTTGCATGATGTTCCGGAGCATGCATTCTCATCCATGGCCAGTCAATGTTTCTGACCAATGGGGAGAGGAGTCATCATGGCCTGGCTGTGAAAGGCTCTAGCAGAAACAGAGATTTGTGAGTGTGACTGAAAACACCCCTGTATTCACACCCTTTGCACTACTGTAATAATCACGGTGCTAAATGGCCCTTGTGAAGTATCACAAGTCTGGTCAGTCATACCAAAGTGAAATGTATGTAGCAACATTTTAGGAAATGTTATGAAATCCCTCTGTATGATGTTATTAGCATACCATCAAACCCACACAGCCCTATCCAGGCAGAAGTTGTTAAACAGGCCTATCCTAACCAAAGGGATGTGTGATATGAGTAGTAAACAGGATCCTCAAGACCTTAAGGGGAGGAAAAACAGTCTGTAGGCAAAGCAAAATTACATTTTAGCAAACCCAGATGAGAAAGATTATCATGGAGACTTCTTTACCACCAGATTCCCTCTTGCTTTCTTTACTGTTTGATTAAACTTTGCTTTGAGGGAAATGGTGAGAAGAAACATCTTCAGAGGTTCACAAGACTGAGGCTATGTCTACACTACAGAGTTTTTCCGGGATACCAGAGGTATCCCGGAAAAACTGTGCCGCATCCAGGGAATGTGTCTGCTTTTTCGGATCAGTTTCTGAAAAAGCGGGCACACTCCATTTTATGAGGGATAAGGGCTCTTCTGAAAGAGGAGGTTTTTCCCACATTTGGCCCCGGGTAGTTGGGCTAAATGTCGGAAAAACCTCTTCCGAAAAAAGAATAGGAAAAAGATATGCCATTTGTGGTTCACAATTTGCATACCTTTTTCCGAAAATAACCTGCAGTGTAGACATAGCCTATATGAGAGAGGGTCAGAGAACCTTGCATATCACTCTCTCCTTCACCTAAGGGGACAAAGTGACTAGGGCCTTTGAGCCACTGGGACAGATCCTGACCAGAGAAAGGCTAAGTCACCATCTTGCTAGAAGGCTGTGGGGTAGAAAGGCCATCTTAAACAAAGCCTTGACCTAAAACTTGCTAGAGAGGTTTTAGATTTTTAGCTTAATGTTTTCACTTTCATCTCCTGTACTTGAATTCCCTAAAAAATCCTATCTTCTTTTGTTAATAAACTTGTTTTAAAATAAGCCAATCCAGTGGCGTGTGTAAGTTGGGGTCCACCCTGCAAGAGTAACCAAGGCTGAGGAAAGCCAAACTGTGACTGGTGCGCTGCTGACAGGCTGCTGGGCTCTAGCTATACACAGATACTCAGGGTGTGACCCTCATGCTGTTTGGTTGTTTGTGTCTGATCCAGTTTGGGAGCTACAACAACCAAGCAGTTTGAGGCACCCAAGATTGCAGGGGAGGCAGTTACACAGCCACTCACTGACTTGGCCTACATCTGGGAATATGACCGTGAATGAGACAGACAGGCAAAAACTGGTGAGAGAGGTTTAAAATAAAGAGGGACGCCCAAGCCATAAAGTTTGGCCCTATCTTTGGCTCTGAATTTCCTCAAGGAAATTCTCTCACTGCTGGAGATAGGCTACTTGACAAAACGGCCTTGTGGGCTGCTCTTCTGAACAGTTTTAATGTATACCCAATGCAGGGCTGTGGCCGTATGCCACTATTGAGTTGTAACACAATTAAGATAAATGCAATCACTATAAAAGTTCAGGATCCTCTGTGCATCAATGAATCAATGGAGTTTGGGTTCAGCCTCATGATTCTTCTCTGTGGGAAACTTCCACTCAGTGGGAAACTTCCATATGTTATCAACAAAGGAAAAGCGAAAAACAGGTTGTTTAGTTTAGCAAAGGTTTGCATTGCAAGGAAGGTTTTGTTTGTTTTTAAAGTGATAACGTTGAGATGGCAACTACTATTTCCTAGTAGATAAAGAAAAAGGGATTTTGGTGCACACGTACAAAGATTTATCCTGCCACAGTGCAGACAATGCCAGTGGAAATTAGAGTGCTACAAGAATATGTTTTAATTTCATGCTGATGTCTAGCTGAGCTGATAATTGAGACAAGTTGTTTGACCATATACTTCATAGCACAAAATATGCAATATTGAAAGAAAATTTGCTTTAGATTAAGGGCCCACTTCTAAATGATGTATGAGTAATTATAAATGTTATCAATATGTTATAGACAAGAGTATTATCTATTATAGATGTTTATAAGCACATTAGTCAAAGGTGTTATAATGGTTATATGCAACCTATTATCCTGTTGGAATCTCTAATAATTCATAATAATTGACTAACTATTTATGAAAACACCTATTACTGCTTATAAATGAAACTTTAATATAAAACGTGGCCAAGAACTGAGCTAAGATAGAACATCTAGTAAATTAAACTAGAGGGTCATTTTTCTCCCTCCCTGTAAAAAAGGAGAGCAGAATTAAACAGTAATAGAGAGTTTGCTGAAGTGTTAGTGGCAGTAACTACACTGTGAATTGCCTCCTGCCCCAGAGATGTCCAATAGCACTATTGTATGAACCCATATTTTTAAGTAATCCCAATGACATCAGCGGGCCAGATTCACTGCCATGCTTCAGTTGCTTTGCCCCTTTCCGATCATGTGTTATAAGATGGTCTCTTAGGGTACGTCTAGACTACATGCCTCTGCCACCAGAGGCATGTAGATTAGGCTACCAGACATAGTAAAATGGAGGCATACCTGGGTGGTCAACAAATACCTTTGATGTCAACACCCGCGCGTCCAGACTATTGCGCTGAGGCGACAAACAGCTGATCAGCTGTTTGGCGGCTCAGCGCGGCAGTGAGGGGGAAATCTCGCTCCCCTGGGGTACAGAGCCCCCAGAAGGGTCCGAGGCCGGAGGTCAAATCAGTGAGGCAGGAGAGAAACCTAGAAGAGAAAACTTTATGATGCATGCATGCAGGCTGTCACTTCCAAGAGTGAAGCAGCAGCCCTGACAGACAGATTCAGGTATCCTATATACAGAATGCTTAGACAGTTCAGTTGCTGATTGTTCTTCTTTAACATATCAAAGTCTCAGCAGAAGTACTCTGAGACTTCTGTTCACCCTAGGAGTGCTAGAAGTAAGTTTTTACAGTACACAAAGCCACATGAGAACTTGAGTGGAGGAGTCTACAAGGCAAACTGTGACAAAGATAAGGGTTTACATGACAAATTGTGACAGACTAGGAGTATCCATGAATTTGAGATAGTCATTTGTAAGGGTCTTTGATTAGAGCTAATTTGATTTCTCTCTGTTACAGGGAGAGAGGTCTGGAAAACTTTTTAACCCTTACAGCAGTTTTCTTTTAGAAAGTTATGATTTCTGCACAGTCCCCCCTTTAGACACAATTGGAGTTATTTGATTTTCCCCACAGCAGCCATGTAAATTTAAATGAAGCGGCGATTATTTAAATCGCCGCTTCATTTTCCTATGCCTGGTAGCCTAATCTACATGCCTCTGGCGACAGAGGCATGTAGTCTAGACGTACCCTTATACTGGCAGGCACTGTACTCTAAGGCTATGTCTACACTGCAGGCTTTTGCCGGCAGAGATTATGCTAATGAAGCACTTATTAGCATTTGTCATTTGCATATCTCTGCTGATGCTTTTTGCGCAAGAGGTTTTGGGGCAAAAACAAGCAGTGTAGACAGGTCCATTTTGTGCAAAACCCCCCTTTTGTGCAAGATCCCTTATGCCTTAAAATATTACAGTGCGACAAATGCTAATGAGCATTTTATTAGCATACTTTCTGCTGGCAAAAGCCTGCAGTGTAGATGTAGCCTAGCAGATGAGACAGAACAAGATCCATCAGAATCATAGAATACTAAAACTGGAAGAGCCCTTGAGAGGTCATCATGTCCAGTCCCCTGCCCTCACAGCAGGGCCAAGCACCAACTAGATCAGGGGTTGGCAACCTTTTCAAACCAAAGAACCAAACGATATCAAATTTCAGAACAATGGTCAACAGAGAGCCATATAAGAATGTAGGAGTCAGGGCAGGGGCTTGGGTGTGTGGGGGGCTCAGGGCAGAATATAGGGGGTGCTGGAGCTGGGGCAGGGAGTGGTGGGCTCAGGGCAATGGGTTGGATGTGTGGGCAGGCTCAGGGCAGGGGGTAGGGGCTGGAGGAGTCAGGACAGGACTTAGAAGGCCAGGGCAGCCGGGGGGAGGGAGGGGTGCAGGAGTCAGTGCAGTGGCTGGGGGGCTCATGGCAGGGGGTGGTGCAGGAGTGACAGTAGGGGACTGGGAGGTGTGGGGAGCTGAGGCAGGAGGTAGGGATGCAGGGAAGGGGGTTGGGTACGTGATGGGGCTTAGTGCAGAGGGGGTGTAGTAATCAGGGCAGGGGATTAAGGGCAGGGGACTGGGAGGTCTCGGGGGCTCGGCAGTGAACATGGGTCTGCTCCAGGAGAGGGGCACAGTTTCTGGACCCCCTAGAATCTCCTCTGGGGGAAGGCGGCAGTTTTTACTCCCCGGCATCTCCTCTGGGGGGCAGTGGTTTCTGGCCCTCCCCGGGTGTGTCCTGCGATGGGGGGATGCTGAGCAGTGGTTCCCAGTTGACCCCCTTCTCCATGTCTCCTGTGATTAGGAGGGGACCGCTGTGTC